GCGACAGAAAGTTGTAGAAGCAGATTTTTATTTTTTAAAAAAATGAATGCATTAGATATGTGGAATTGTGGAATTGAGTATTAAAATTAGTTGTATATTTGATATGTTTACAGTTTGATTGTGATTACTGAGAATGGAGACTCCAAAACTCAAAGAGTTCGAATAAGCTCCTGTGTATGGTAAGTTGCTCTATTTTTGTAGTTTGAGAAATGAAGTATTTTGGTTCAAATTTTTTTACGTGTTTCATTGGAATTTTGTTATAAAAGTGTATGCATGTTGTTTGTTGTGGGTCTTGAAGTAATTCCTGTACTAACCCTTGTTGACATTATCATCCAACCGGATACACAGACTACTTCATAATGGCTATATACACTGATAGTGTGTTCTTCGATAAGCCGAATAATGTCAAATACGAACATGATACTGTGATGTTTGGGGACTTTGTGAGGATTGATTACTTCAATAGGGAATGGTTCAAGGCTCTTGAGTATGTTTGTGGAGACTGTGAGCTTTTATAATTTTACTTTAAGATGCAGAAAGGGCATTTGTGTAGTGCTTTGAGGAGGTTGTGTTGTGAATCAAATGTGAGAGAGATGTTGAAGGACCTTAAAGGTATAGGTTGCTTGAGATTTCATAGTTGTGCCTAGCCATACAATAGCATTACCTCGAGAACCATACCAAGAACCAGTGCCTAAGGTCCCAGAGAGTAGTGCCCTTAATGAAGAAAGTAAAAGTACCATAGAAGGTTGCTACTTCTTGATGTTTGATGTGGATGAAAGTAGTACGGGTGAGGTAAACATTGGTGACTGTGTGCTTGGAAATGTGAAGGAGGGGTGGTCGCAATTTGAGGAAACACTGGCATAAGAAGCTACAGTTGGTACTTCACAACCAGGTTTAGCATGTAGAGAACTCGGAGATAGATGAGGAAGAACGGAAGCATGAAGGACATAGTCAAGACGATCTAATGGAAGATGAAACTCAAAGCTTATGGAAAGTGATTACAAGGTTGAGAAGGAACCTGAGCTAGTTAAGAGGTTGAGGATGAAGCTAATTTTGTCTCTAACTTTAGTTTTGGATTGTTCGATGGACAAGAAGTTAGAGACATTATGTAGCGCTGTTTAGGGGGATTTTTCGCAACCAATTTAGATTAAATGGTGTGTCATACAATTGTATACCAATGAACAACTAGGCAAGAAGAAATGAAATAGAAGAAGAAACTAGAAAATCACAAAGCACAACATTCACTAACATCCATTCAGTACACACATCAACAAGACCGTCAAAGCTTTATTTTTTGCCAAAACCCCACATCAATACACACCCACATGAAAACCTAAAAATCTAAGACCTAAATCTAAAATCATTGCTCTACCACTACAATTCCAATATCTATTGTTCGAGTGCATTCCCGAATCTCAATAGCCAAGGTATGGTCTCCACAGATCTATTACACATATGTGGGTCAAATCACGAGAAGTACTCATAACCTCCATTTTGATGTAGAACCAAAAAAATATGAGAGCTTGAGCATATTCAGTAAAAAAAATAGTTCAAAAATTGTGTTCGGATTTCCATTACTAGACGTCGTGTGCATGTAAAGAACCTTCTCGGGTTTGATGCTATCCACGAAGTTTTCTGCTTAATCTTCATTTCTCTTTTGTGCAGACGAGAGTCTATCGCAACAAAGGGTGAAGTGGTTTCAACTATGTACGAAAGATACGGAGTGGGTGTCAAGTAATGAAATGAAGAAAATAAAGAAAATACTAGTTTTAGGTGGATTAAATTAAAGATGCAAAATCTGAAATGACGCATGGGTGTTTTTTGCACGAAACATTTACAAGAGGTATTCTGCTATTAATCTATATAAACAAATAAAGTGAACAAGAACCCTCAAATGCTAGCAATCGAGCCCATGTTTGGCTCATGTCTATAAATTGTTCATTAACACTCGAATCACTTTTTATCTATACAATCGTGAGATAATCAAATACTATATACTTATCCACCATCATTTTTTTTTAATATATTAATGATATAAACTAATTTTAAACACTACACAAACACTCTTGTCACGTCCAATGATTTCAACTCAATTATTGAATTTAGTTTGCAATAGCTCTTCCTAACTTGGATGGTGAAGAAAAAATCATGGGGCTTCGACTTCAAAACATGTCAAAATTGGTCCCTTCTAACTTACACAAAACTTTGCATATCATATTTTTGTGCAACATAGGAAACTTCTAAAGTTGTACTTCTTAAAATACATGACTGCACACTAAAGGTAACTCAATCAAAGCAAGAGATGGATGTCACCCATAACTCTTCGAATAAGGTCTAATTTCGGTTATAATTACTATCTTATTAGGTTGAGCTACTATAGTTTTTCAAAACCCACTAACCATTCTGACTGGAGATCAGAATTTATACGATTGACTATTATTTTCCTTAATCATGGGACTGTTGCTCACTAATATGTACCAAGCATGCCCTTAGATACTTAATCATGGGACTGTTGCTCACTAATATGTACCAAGCATGCCCTTAGATACTGACCTATTGCACATAATAATACAACAAATCCTAATAGAAAGTAGTACTAAAATTTTAACAGCAATTTGCTAAAATGATCCATATGTAGCAAAGACCACAAACTAATGCCCACAAGTGCAGACATTTTACAAAGAAGCTATACAGAAAAATTGAGACCTTGTGGTTAGATTATGTAAATTCCCCCCTCGTCAACATAATGTAAAAACATTAATAACCAAACGGTCTCGGTGCAAACCACTACGCATGAAAGATCAACGATCCGAGTAGCATGTACACTTGTCCACCTCATGTATGTGCTTATGTAGCAATTTACTTCCAAATAGTATTTCCTTACAACACAGACGTAGACGTATCAGTAAGAGTTTTGAGAAGCTCCCTACGTGTACACGGTAGTACTTCTTTCCTTGTAATTAATTAACTTGAAAATCATAGTCACCGAGGAAGAAAAGATCAATAGCAATAATGACAATCAGTTTACTACAGTTCAGGAAAAAACCAAAGCTTTCTTTCCAATGAATTTGGGTTGGTACATATTCCATTCCTTGTCCTCATTGTTTGGGAGCGATTAAAATTGGATTAAAATTAAAAATATAGTCGTTATTGAGTCTCACTCGTCTAATAAAAGTCAACAATAACGACTAGTTTTTCAATTTTAATCCAATTTTAATCTCCACCAAACACGCTCGATTCTTCTCATTATTTATCATCATCCCCCACTTGCAATGATGTCCTCTCTTTTCCCCTTCCATGTGAAGACAAAAACTATAAAACTAAAAAAACTTGTAAAACATTCCAATTTATGAAACGACCAATAATAAAACATTCAAAATAGGCAAGACAAATGGGCATACCTTAGTCGCCATGAGACACCGCCCATTTCATGGGGTTTTTGAAAAGTTAAAAGCTACTTTTAAGAGGGTGTGTGGTGAAAATTAAAATTTGATTTTTAGTAGACTATGATAGAAGTTTTTGAAATGTGTGATTGAAAAGTCGTGAAACCCATGAAAGATGTGGTTAATATTGATTGTTTGACTTTGACTTTGATTAAAACCAAATTTTAATTCGGAACAAACATGGGCAAAATATGTTTAGATAATTTTCTGAAAGTATTTTTTTCTTGAAAGAGCTTTTAAAGAAAGTTAGATTTTTAGGAAACTCTCCTACAATTTTACAAGAAGCGTAATTAAAGGTAGAAGTTTTATCAAACGGGCACTTACGTCTTGACACAGAAGCCTTATCTAAATTGAGACTCAAGGTGTAATATTTTTTGAGATCATTAGACTTGAATAAACAATATCAAGAGATTGAGCTGCCCAAAATAAAGCTCAATCAAAACATGTGATCAAAACCGAAGAACTCTGAACTTCATACTCATACAAACTCTTGCAAATTTAAAAGCAAAATGGAGAGACGCCCATTCAATTAACTTTACCAAATATATATATATAATGCATGAGACAGGTGACTAAGGTGCCAATACTATAGATGGTGAAAGAAATTCTTCACCCATCCATACGGCGTCGTTTCATTGTATGACATATAATGGTCAGCCAACTTTTATGTTAGTTTCAACTTGGAAACAAACCTTCACAAGGTTATAAACTAGTCACTCTACCTTTACTTATGTTTCACATTAAAAGGCCACACCCGGAAGCTTGCGGTTGTTTTGATGAGCTAGCAATTTTGAAGAAATGGTAAGTGACTTAATTTCACTAGAAATATCGGCGATGACAACACTGAATATCGGGCTATTTATTCAATTTTCACCATGTTTTGATAATTAACCCAAACATCAATCTAAAAAGTTCGATTGAGCTTAGAAAGGATGCAAAAATAAATAAATATAGACATACAAGCTATGGTGTTCATAGTGGGCATGTACATGCAATGCACATGCCAACTTTTATGGTTGGATCTTTTGTAAAGAACAAAATTGGCTAAATTGGTGAAATCGTGACATAGGAAAATCAATTCTTTCGGCTCACAATTAAATGATTGGTTCGAAGGTTCTGTTATTAGTTATTTAATTTCTGATCAACAACATACAAGCACATTATAATTTGATTCGTTTCTTTAATTTTTTTCAGCTAAACAATCCAATTCACTCTAATATTTAAAAAAATCACAATTAGAACAAGAAATATAGAAGTAAGCATGTCTTGTTGACGCTTTTAAATCGTCCAGCATGAGAAACTAATGGGAAGTTGAGATACATTGTAAGTCGGTGATGTACATGAAATATAAATAGAAGTATAGTGTTAAACATTTTGAAGTTTGGTGACTAAGGTGAAACAAACATAGAAGTTAGATAACCATCCGTATAATTTCCTCCAAATAAAATCGCACGATTTCACGGGGTCCTCAAGAGTCAAGATCAATAAATCCCGCCTTCTTCGAAAGTCGAAACCCCAGAGCCAGAGCCCTAGCAAAGCTTCCAACTGCCAACATCCATGGCGGTCACGGACTCGTCTTCTCAACAACCATCAAAATCACCCAATCTCAGCATATCCCATCACAACCAATTTTTAGGTTAAAATCGTTATGACCAGTTCTTGTTACGCTAAATTGATTAATTTGAACCATTAGAATGTTTTTACTGATTTTACTTGCATTTATGCGTGTAGTGTGGAGGGAATTCTTATGGGGCGGAATCGCAGGAGCATTTGGTGAAGGAATGATGCATCCTGTTGATACAATTAAGACACGGATACAAAGCCAAGTTATTCTCAGTGGACGCCAGGTTGATTAATAATTACGAAATCAACGAATGCATTTGTTTCTGTAAATGGACAACTTTGTGAAGCTACTACTTTATCTATATTTGTGAATGAAGTTTCGTGCTTTGGTAACGAAGGGTTTGTTGTTTTGTTACTTTCAGAACCAAAAAAGCATATTACAAATGGTTCGGACAGTTTGGGCAATAGATGGTTTAACGGGTATATCTTCCTACTTTTGCTCACATTTTGTTGTCTATTTTTTTATCAGATTTTTGAACCTATAGTCTGTAATTTTGCATGCTGACATGCGTACCCAGTATGATATTGTTCAGCGCACTATACGATGGGATCTTGTTTCCATGGTATATATAGTGAGCACAATTCGTTATATTTGTGATCTTTATCGATGATTGTTTATTAGGTTTTTACAGAGGAATAGCACCAGGAGTCACTGGATCACTTGCGACTGGAGCTACTTACTTTGGAGTGATTGAGTCCACCAAGAAATGGATAGACACGTCACATCCTAGCCTCGGTGGCCACTGGGCACATTTTATTGCCGGAGCTATTGGTAAACTTCTAATTCAATCTGCATTTTTTTCTCTCTTTTTTTTTCTGTCCTAATTTGAAAACCATGTGGTAGCCAACTCCAAGTTTGTAAGGGATACAATTTAGGTTGTTGCTGTATAATTTGAAACCAAGGATTCAGATGGTAGAATGATTATCTTCTCCCAGACATTTTGAATGTGAGCTTGGCTTATCTAACTCACAAATTACTTTTACTTTTCTATATGACTTTCAGGTGATACGCTTGGCTCAGTTATTTATGTTCCATGTGAAGTGATAAAGCAACGCATGCAGATTCAGGGCTCAAGGAAGTATTGGACATCTGTTGTAGCGAAAGACAGTTCCCATGTCAAACATGGCACGCACTTATATGGCTACTATTCTGGGATGTTTCAGGCTGGATGTTCAATATGGAAGGAGCAAGGCATGAAAGGATTGTATGCAGGGTATTGCTTTTTTATGTCAATGCTTAACCTGTACATGTTGATTGATAACTTATCTATACGTTGGTGTAGTGAGGGCTGGGGGAACTAGTAAAGTCATTCAGTCCTCATGCATCAATCTGTTCCACTAGTAATTGTCAAGTATGTGTGAGGACCCTGGTGTGGTTAACTAATAATCCTAAACATGATTAACAACTCACTTTTCTTTGTTTTTCATAGCATCAGTACAGAACTACTCCCAAAATAAAAGTTACATAAGGGAGAGAGCAGAAAAGTGATTTATTGCTTATCTTCTTTATGATCATTATCTCATGATTTCCATAAGTCAAGCATTGGGCTCTGCAAACTAACTAGTTTCTCACTAGAAGCTTCTATGAAGTTTTATTCTGTTATACTCTGCATTTACATTTGGAGAAGTTGGCTTCAATTTTTAAGTCTAGTATAATAATTATTATGTTTTTGCTCAGCCATATTAACAGTCAAAATAAAGCAAAATATTTCTCTCTTCCTTTTTCTTATTTATATGTTGCATTCATGATATCTTCCCATTTATTTTGCAGATACGGGTCCACGCTTGCACGGGATGTGCCATTTGCTGGCCTTATGGTATCAAATTCTGTACTGGGATTCAAATGATTTTTTAAATACATTAGTTGTAGTATTTTTGCATAATTTGATTTAACTTTCAGAATGAAAATTCAAAGACAAGTGAAACTTGCCAATTTTGTTCTCTGTTTTACTGCTTCCACTTAATGGTTAAGAATCGTTCTTGAATTTCTGTTTTCAGAAATCAATTTGTAAGATCAATACTACTATGGAGGAAAAAAGAAGCATTCGTTTCTCTGTTTATGTAATGATAAATGACCTTCTGTGCCAAATTGTATTGCTGCAATAGTTAAGATTTTGATCAGTAACCTTCCTTACTTGACTCTATAGTGGATGCAAGGGATTCCATTGCCACATTTTCTGTGCCAAATTGTATTTCTACAAGAAATTTTGTGCATCTTCTTCACCTCAAACTTTTCCATGGAAATTGCGCAACTCAACAGAAAATTATGATCACAAGATGTCTCGGTTAGGTTCTAATGTTGTTAAATGATATCCGTAAAAGTAATTTTGCTTTCCTAATGATTTTAATTGCTGATAAAAATGAGCCTTCACTACAGGTATTGTCACGTTATTGCACAGATGGAGAAGAAAATTCATATTTAATTTGAATATTTGGCGTATCATGTCAATTTAGTTGGTCCATCTACAACATCTCTTAGTTCTCTCTCTCTATGTGTGTGTGTGTGTGAGAGAGAGAGAGAGAGAGAGAGTTTGTGGTAAATTCGATTGAATTCATAGCTCTTCTGTTGTTAATGTGTCTACTAGATTTTGTAATGAAATCTGGGCTTACTCTTGACAGGTTACTTTCTATGAGGCTTTTAAAAGCATGGCACAGTACGGGAAGCAAAATTGGTTTCCCAACTCAAATTTTCAAGCTAATAGTTCTCTTGAGGGACTTTTGTTAGGAGGATTAGCTGGTGGTATGTATATTGTGTTGTACTGTTCTATATTTTCCTGATGGTGTTTTGTTTGAATTACGCAATGACAGCTGACATTGATTTTTCAAAAGTCAATTCTTATAATCTCCTTCAAATGTTACAGGTTTGAGTGCATATCTCACCACTCCTCTGGATGTTGTCAAAACAAGATTGCAGGTACAAGGGACGACTGTGAGGTATTATCACCATTTGAATTTCATCCCAAATGCTATATATTTTGCTCTCATTGCCTCCAGAATATTTTTTTTTCACTGTTTTGCTCAGTGCAGTGCTATAGACGCACTGCTTCATAAAGGTGCTTGGTTTTCATCCATCACAAAATTTTTCCTTTTTCTGTAAAAGTAGAAACCCCATTCAATGCCTATCTAAAATGTCAGACATTAATTGAGATGTTTATTATTCATTTGAAGATGCTGGAGAGATTGAAATTGTAAGGCTTTACTTGAAAAGTAGGATTTAGTGCGTGTCCTCTTTACTAACAGATGTACAAGTGAAACTGAGGTTGGTGATAATGAGGCGGTTGAGATCTAGTCATGTTATCCTAACTATAATAAATTTCTCCCTCTCTCCCCTTCGCCTTCCCAACATTTCTGTGTGCATGCATGTCTCTGTTTCCTGCTTTAGCATTCGTCATTTTGTATGTTAGCTGACATCCCACTTGCCGGACTGTTCATTAACTTCCAATCTGGTGATAACCGGTACAGGTTGATGTGCCAGAGCAATTCCGTCTCGACTGATTGGTTGTATAAAATCTGTTTTCTATTATGCACCAGTTTAATAACCTCAGTTTGTTTATTATGCTTGAATTTTGCTCATTACAGTAACATTCGCAATTAAGATTGTTATCTTTTACGACTTTTGCAAAAATACGGGAAAGATTATGACTCAAATTCCTCGATACCCTGAATATTTTTCCAGGTACAATGGATGGTTGGATACTGTTCATAAGATATGGTTGACTGAAGGTATGAGAGGGATGTTTAGAGGTAGCGTCCCCAGAATTATGTGGTACGTTCCAGCTTCAGCTCTTACTTTCATGGCTGTGGAATTCCTCAAAGAACATTTCAATGACAAATTGCAAGAAGTAGCTTTTATATCCATAGACAAAAAAGGGTCATCCTTGCAAGACGCTCTTAAATAAGCAGCACATTCCCCTTTGGATCAACATTGACTAAGGGACACGAACACATTGTATCATATGAAAATTGTCAACTGATTTTAGAGAGCAAATAGTTAACAGAAGCCTTGGGAAGTAGGTAGCTGCAACATACAGAAATGTAGTTGAATTGAGAAAGTGCACTTTCATTTGAATGGACAACAAATATATCATAAAATTGCATTTGAATCAGTCCGTTTCATATGCTCCAATTGTACTCTACTTGTTGAATTGTCAGATGATTTTTACTCAAGTTTAAATTCACTTGACTGAGTTGTATTAAAACTTGGGGTTCGTTATTAAAAGGTCAACATTATTAAGAGAAGTAACTTAAGTACATATATGTTGGTTTATATTTTTATCTTAATTCGACTTGGGATTTATCGTTTAACATGTCTTGTAAATGGTAGCTCGTTTAAGTATAGCGATCTTAAAATCTGTGTGTTCATTTGTATCGAATTGCTCATTTGAGTTTCTCTAATACCATATTAAGACTTAAGAGTCCACTTTAAAAGGTAAACATTATGGAGTAATTCAAACCGTCATTTGCTCATATTGAGTCGACGATCATGTCATTGCAAGCTCATGCAATGGGTTAGCATGTTCTTGTTTCTTACAACCCTTCACTGTGGAATCCTTTCATTAGAAAGGTTAAGAAACTACCACATACACTAGTAGAATACACGAAAGAAAAGGAGGTTTTATGTGCGTGAAGAATATGGTTCTGGGTATGATTCTTCAGTCGAGGCAATTGGAGAGTCTAACTGCTCATCCCTTGAAAGATGAATACAAGTGAGATATGGATGATGATGAAATATGGAGTAAGAAATCTTATACAAATTTTACTGTCCTTCATTCCATCAGTTCCTAGGCCTTACGTGACATTTTGCACATTAACTTATTCAGTAACTGGTAATAACGTTCTTGAACTTCGATTGTAGACGCCTTATATGGTATGGCTTGAGACGTAGAGCTAATAAGAACGTCTTTTTTCGTGGTTTGCTTCCTACTATTTAAGCTATGTATTCTCTTGGTTCGGTGACTTGTATTGTTTTAGAGAGGTCGAATATCGGTTATAGCACATAATAATAACTACTGTAGATTTTGAAAGGGGATAGAAGATATAACGTATAGTCTACAAAATCTTTTGAAAATGATCATTGTCTTTGATGCCTTTTTCGGTTGTTCCCAATCATCAAAGAAATGTAGGAGGTTCACAAGTTAAAATAGTGCTAACTCTACTATAGAGAGAGATTGTTAGATGAATTAAGAATACTATTTTTCAATATAAACCAAGATTATCAATTATGTGAATTGAGGATTAAAGTAGAAAACATACGTAGAGTTAAAGTCCTAGTGCCTTTATAAACTTTGTTTTTCACCAAAATTTGTTGAAAACCATTTAAATCATTCGTTGTTGTAATATTAGCAGATTTTTGTAAAACTCAGTCAAAACAAATTTGTGTATTATGAACTCATTTCATTTATTATTACTTGTCTTTGACATCATGCACTTTGCGATTTCAACTGAAAAACATTCATCAATGACTTGAGCAAAGGCTCTGCTATTTTCCAAGTAATTAATGATTTTCTACGGCCATGTTTGATAGCATGGCTTTTCCTTGGAAAATCTTTTCCAATTTCCTACTTTATACATGTTTGATAGTATATATTTTACTTGGAAAATGTTTTCTCAGCCTCAACTTCATGTGCCTATTTTCCTTAAAATTGGCGAATTAGTTTTCCTATGGTTTTTGCTGGAATTGATTTTCCAGTTTTTTTTTTGGCAATTGAAAAAAAATTCTAGACACAATAGTAAAAAAAAAAAAAAAAAATTTATTTAATGGAAAATTTAAATTTAAAAAA